TAGGATTTTGCTGCAAATTTGCTACAAACAGTGACATAGTCAGTATTTTTTGCTGCTGAAAATCTATTTTTCAATACTTTAGCCCTCCCTAACTTGTTTTTGCAGCACTTGGTCCCCCTGATACATATTTTCTGGCTCCGCCACTGTTGTCATGGATTATGAGTTCTACAGATGAATGTGCATTAATTTGTAGGCACAATTGCCGGAAGCTTAGGAGAGAGGCACGATACTAGCATCTAGGCAAAGAGCTTAGCCAAGGGATGTATCAGGCTAATTCGCCTGATCTCGCATACTGTTTCTCCCAGATCAGCATAATCAATGCTTAATTCAGGTAAATTTGTCAGATGCAGCAGTTTTCACTGTGTCTCCCAAATCATTTTGACAACTTATGAACTTGTTTTCAACTTTCATCTTCTTTCTTTGCATTTTCACGTGTACTGATAATCATATATTCTCAAACATATTATACATAAGGATAATGTTCACATTCAGGAGTGCTCATGATGAAAGCACGATGAATTGTCATTGGTAGATTACCTTTGAGAACAGAGATACAACAGGAGCACCAGAGCAATCAGCATATATTAGAGCCTGCATTGATGCAAATTGCTAACGTAAGAATGGCCTTGAGAAGGATATGACACAATTAATAAAGTTAAACTCACAACTAAATAGAAGAATAAACAGTAACACATCTAAGCAAGCAGCTTCATATCTTTTTTGATAACCTCAGACCTGCATACCAATTTGCAACTATGCAATCACCCAAAGGTGTCCATGGAGTTAAAGAACACTGATGGCGTATCAGAATTGCATCTAGGCATCTTATCATTTGGAAACATGAATAGTGTTTAGTTGGGTATGCCGACGCAAGTTCCCTCAGAAACAGAAATAACTAAGATATAAGACTCTGTTGTCATATTAAAAGCTAAATACTTGAGCTTATTAGCTAATGGTAGAGACTGCCATGGCCAAAGTTGTTCCCTTGCATTGAAATTTGCATGGCTATAGTAGGCTCAGCCGCTCTACTAACTCAAGGTTGACGGAAATATACTCAAAACTAAACTAGAGAACCATCGCACTCATCAGATGTGTATATGCACCTAGTAATGCATACATTACCACTATACTCAGATTCCCATCATAATCAAGAATACAAGTAAATATCGAGAATAGAGCAGAATGCACTGACCTGAAGGAGTTCCTGGCAAATATCGACTGAAAGGAAATCCTTGCTGAAAAAGGCTTCAGTTGTGAGGGACAATAACACAGGTAAGACTTGATCACATGGTCTTGGATTATCTAGTCCATAGAAAACAATGTTCGAAAAAAAATTCTCTTTGCTACAGTCAAGCTTCATCTTGACAGAACCATTCTCCGTCGATTGGTGTGAATGAAATAGCACAAGGACAGATTGTCCCCAGAGAAACTGGAAATCACTTTCCTCCAATTTGACCATACTACGTCCAGAGATAAACATGTGTTCATGAACATCTTCAGAATCATCCGCGCCGAACTCCACAGGAGCTGCATCAAGAGCTGTTGCCTGGAGAATCAGTGTCCAAACTTCATCAAGATACTTCTGTACCTTCGACGAGACCAATAATGACTGAATTCCATCAAGGAATGGCTTGTGCTGTTTAAAGAAAACAATATAGGTCATTTCCTAATCTTAGGTGTGCAGTAATTGGAGTTTGACGGATGGTCTTACATTAATTCTTGAATGCAAGCCAAAGATTATAGAAAAGTAATCCTTGAGGGCTCCAACCCAATATTTCCCCAATAGCGTTGAGCTATTTGCTAGTAAAGGTGCCAGCTGCTGGTGTTCATCAGGGACATTTTCCTTTGCCCTCAAGAATTGATAGGTGTAACATTTTACTGCAGCATGCGCTGTAAGAAGGCGCACTTTGATCTGTATGATTGCACAGCATAGATCAGAAACAATGAAGGTACCAGATACTGAAAACAAAAACAGAAGAGATGTATCACTACAGAAGAAAAACTAGGAGAAATACCTTACACACAACCCAGTCAGCAAAAGATGGGTAAAAAAGGCCCTCTATATCACTTAGTGGACGGGATATTAGCAAAAAGAGTCGATTAAGGGCTACTTTGTCCCCACAAATGACGCTGCTCGTCATAACCTGGTGTTAATGAGCATAGTTGTTTATAAGTGGAGATCAATATCAAAGGGAAAGAACAGGATTCATTTAGGGATAGAGCTTTCACCTTTGTAGCAAGTTCAAGGCCAGCCTCCAATAGAAGTGGACCAGAAGTAGTACTTATTGCCGTTTTAACAGCTGAAACAAGCTGAGCCTGCATTTTGAAGTACGCAACAGTGCATCAAATAATTGGTCAATCACTTGGTTAATTTATATCAGCATAGATGATTTGTCAGCATACATCTGCCGCATGCATGTCTTGGATTACACAGTAAGAACACAGGCCATCAAGAATTTCTTTTTTGCTCAAAACTGCTATTAGGAAGTGATGAGATCAGAGAATCACCTGAAATTGTTCTAACAAGATATGTCCAGGAAATTCAGGATCCACTGTCATGCCAAACTAGAAAAAAAAAAGGGCCCAGGTTGAGCTTAACAGAGTAAATAATTTAAAATAGATAATTAGAGGACTAATATAATCACAGGAAAGGATTCATACAAAAAGATAGATAATTTAAAAATCTCAATTCGGTAGTCAATATCCCTGGTGAAACAATTATAAGGACTACCACATGCTTTGTGCAAGCAGATAACAGGACTTCATTATTGCATGATAGACAGACTAGACTTACTAGGTGCCTAAATCATTTCAGGACACATGTACAACATTATACTTCACAAAACAATGTACTATAGTTACGCGGCATTTTAAAGGCAACATAATATGCATGGTCAACAAGCCTTGACCAGTTCTTCCATATTATAATTCAAGTCACAGATGTGCCTTAGAATTGCTATAAAGTGAATGGTTGATTGCATGAATAACTTATGTATTTATGTCAAGGCCTATATCTTTGGAAGAGCTGAGATACCTTGTCCATAATCAAACATAAAAGCTGCACGCCTATCGGTTGCATGCCCTCAAACTGTCCAGTACTTATCTGCCATGCAAATGTAGTTGTTAGCTTTAAACAGGCAAATTTGACTTAAGAACTTCTTTCAGATAGTTCTATGGTCTGTATGTAAGATCTGTTTTATGTTTGGACCTGATACGAAAGCGAGACCAACTCCTGTAGCTTAAGCACGAGCCAATCATTTGATAAATAAGTCCCCTTAGCTATTGCACTCCTTGCCAACAAGAGATCAAAATGAGCTGGTTCTGTTCCAACTGCAACCGGTACATGGCTAACACATCTGTTTTATCAAAATAGAAAGTACATGATGAGTGGGAAACAAAGAATATTTCGTGGTATCTTCAGAAAAGTTTGGGCTCAATAGAAGCAAAAGTCATATACACAACATACTCGGCTGCAAATACCCTAGTGCGGTATCTGAGGTGCTTATTTCTTCGAGAAAACTGACTCGATATAGGAGCAGACCAGTTTACTTGCTCCTGCTTTGGGCCGGAAATCATATTGTCGTCATCTTCTCCATACACATCATTCTCATGTGTACTGTCAACGGAATCATGTCCAGAACTGGTCAGACTTTCACTCGTATTTCTTGTAACTGATGTAGCAAGAACCTGAATGGCAAAAAAAAAAATCAACATAAGCCATACCAACTCCAAAGCATGAATTCTCCTCCTGAAGAATTATGTACCAACACTTGAAGGAACTAATACGCATGTTTATCATCATGTATACTAGATCCATGATGAATGTACCACAGCGTCACCAATCTATGATTCGCTTACTGAGAATATGCGCTCATGATGAGAATCAACAAATTCAGAGGCAAGAAAATGTTTAGCATATACTACCAAAAGCCTTCTGTCAGCGCGCATGCAAATAGGAAGACAGGTATTGAGATAAGAAATGCCATCATGCTACAGTTAAATTGCATAGAACATACTAGTTGCAAGAATCTATAGCATTTTGCATGATTCTCTTTTTGAGACAAGGAACAGTATGCCAGTAGAGATATGATATCTACCCTCGGCGCAGAATGAATAATCAGAACATTAAAAGAATATATGCCATTGCAGATAATTATTGTGATGCATGTCTCTCTTTATGATGGGGACAAACTAACTCGGACAATTACAAGATACATATATTCAGAAGGTCTTAGGAACTAAACACAACATATTGAAACTCAATGCAAGGCCTATTAAACATACCATATTCCGCAGAACGGCTAACCATCGAGATGGATGCAGTGGACATGATGTATACAATAAGCGAATAATAGTCGCCCGAACCAATGTTGCTATTCTGCACATTTGAAAACTGAAAATTAATTTCCATCTCACAACTGACAAGAACCTTTTATAATAGTAATAAATTTTCCACCTTCCAAACAATGATTTTATAGAAATATTAATCCAGAATAAGTGTCAGCAATACACACATGTACAAGCATTGAATGAAAGGTGATACAATATGTATGTCCTCTGTTTGCACAATGCACATAGATGACATTTTGGGCATACAATATTTTCAGTATGTTTGTTAAACAATACCATGGCGTTTACACCCTCAAAGAGAATGTTCCGCATTTACTACGAGACCCTTGCCCTTCTTAAGTGTTCAGTAGAAAATGCTGTCAACCATTCTCTTTGAAATGTAAACGCCTAGTATTTCACAGTTTCCCAATCCACAATAAATACCCTTGTGTTTGTTAAGCTTCATGCACTAGCCAACGCAAGCAAAAGTCCAAACTGATGGAAAGGGCTAGGCAATCCACATATACACTTCAACACTCCCTCTCACGTGTGACGCGGGAAGTCAACACATGGATAGACTCAGAGGTATGGCTCAAGAGGCCTATACGTGGACACAAAGGGGGGAACAACAATTTTGAATAAACTGCGAAAGCCAGGACTTGTACTCAAGATCTTAGGCCCTGATACCATGTTAAGCTTCATGCACTAGCCAACGCAACCAAAAGTCCGAACTGATGGAAAGGGCTAGGCAATCCACATATAAACTTCAACAGTGTTATCCATATATAAATTCCCTAAGCGGCGGTGGCCCTATATTGGCTGCATTTGATGTGCATACACAAGCATCTAATATGGCAGCCAGAGATTGGATTTAACATGGCTCATTCAAAGGAGTAATTAAGTGGGATAGAATGTCATGCAAAGCTCAATATGATGGTGGTAAGAAGCCTAGAACGTCATGCAAAGATGAACAGACGGGAGTATAATATGATGACGGTAAGAAGCTATACATGGGTGCCAAAATCTGACATACTGGCACCTAACACCGGCACTCCATCCCTTCAGTTGTACGGTTGCACTAGTCCACCTTTACTTTGGTAAATATATAATATAATCGTAATAAGAAGCTACAGATGGGTGCAAAAATATAGCATGCTGCCACCTTATGATGGCACACAGACAAATATGACAATGCCAGTCTTGGCATCTTTGTATTATGCAGCAAAAGGACAGCATCATCACAGCACGGTGATGCATGCGAAGACAGGAAGATATATTTCAACCAATATGGAAATTCAAAACCTAATAAGAACTAGCTTACTTGGACACGAAAAGATTATAACTACTAGGTGCGAAGAATACAGGATATACCACAGATGCAACACACACACACACACACACACACACACACCAATGGTAGTAACATACTCAGAGTCGGTTTCCCCATCAAGCATACTGAACAGATTCTCTTCGATGTTCTCATTGATCATTGCAGCCTGACATAGAAGATTCAGCGGCAAATAAGACAAGCGGAAGTAATTGCATAGGATTCTTCCACAACAGGAAATTCTGAAAAAGAAACATATGTGTTCTTACCATAAAGATGCCAAAATATGTTATAGCATCAAAGAGGTCATTCAAGTTTATTCAAGTGAAAGAGCTAAATTTTAATTGATTAATGAACTAGCTGTCCATCAAACTCATATTAAAATGTTATCAGTGACAAATCAAACATCAATTTGAAAAATATGACAAAATAATATAACGACATCAGATCTTCCTGCATACAAAGTTAATGGCATCCAAAATGGCAGAGTTGGCAGTAATTAGTGAGTGCTTATTGCTAACACACTTGCTGCTACTGGATTTTACTTTACGTAGTAAAGATTACATGCATACTTTCCAGAAATAGCAATAAGTTTAGACAGTTACCCTTGTAAGAAAATTTGCATGCACAGGTAGCTTTTACAAAAAATAAGACAAATCAGTATGAGAATTTATGCCAAATAATATACAGTGACAAGCAATCAAAAATAAATCCTCATTTCCATGCTTGTACTCCCTCCGTCCGGGTTTATTGGGCCCTTGGACCAAAACTTAGAGACCAAGGCAACCTCGAACGCAGAGATATAGCTTTGATTGGAACCAGTACTTAGGCCGCCGGGATCGCAGTAACTGTGCCTGCGATTTTCCTAGAAGGCGCACGAATGCATGCTCATGCGCGCAATAATCGTGGCTGCATGGCCAATCAGGACAATTTAAGATGCATGCGCTAGCTGTTTCTTGAAATGTCCCGCGCTTTAAAACTGCATGCAAGATTAATTCGGGAGAAAATCGAGGGCTTCCCCCTGCAGGGGCCTTGTAAAACTGTGCGCATGAGTGTTGCTTACAGGCCCAATAAACCCGGACGGAGGCAGTACAACATAAAGCGGAAAATTATAACTTTTTATGCAACTGATACTAGAGACTGTCAGGTATTTGGACTGAAGCACTAAAATAAAGGGTTTCAGCTTGCATTCCTTACCGGGTCTCTTTCAATCAGATGACGCAATGTCGACACTGCTAAATACCTATGGCTTGGCTGTTACAAAAGTAGGCCACAGTAAGGGAAGGGAATGCTAATATCGAAGTAAATGAATACGCACTACAACATGACCTACCTGTTTATAGAAAGGAAATGTTAATAAGAAAGTAAACAACTACACAGGACCACGTACCTGTCTTGAGAAAAGCGTTGGGACAAGACCTTGAACGTGGGAATGCACAGGAACAGCTTGAGGAGCAAAAAGAACAAGCTGCTGAGCAAACCTAACTGATCTGCAACATACAACAGAAAATACTTTGAGCACAACATCCAAAGCTGACCTCTCCTAATCACCTACTTATTAAAGAAAATAGATATTATTTATGATCATTACGTACTCTAGAAGTGTAGCCGTTTCATTTGAGGAGCTTATCTCTGCAATGACAGACTGAACTTAACAATATGAGTCGTGTGAACAACTTCCTCTAGAAACAAAAAAGGAGAAAAATAACTGCAAGATCATGTCTCTTAAAGACAGTAAATGGTCCCTCCATTACTAGATACATGTCATTCTAGCAACATGCACAAGAACTCAAGCACAAGAGAGACTTAACAAGATAAACTTTACACTGTTCATTAGTTCAATACCCTCTGTATTATACTTGACATAGCTATAGCCAGAAGTTTTCATTATGGAAGATATGTGACATGTGCATCCCAAAGCAGTAGAATGACATGTGAACCTTGAAGTGGTAAAATGACATGTATGTAATAACAAAACTAAAAGGGTAGACTGACATGTATATTCATTAATAAGACATTAATTATTAGCAAGATCCAATGAAAAATAGGCCGGATCTTCCTTTTTCTTGAATAAAAGTTACCAGAAAATTATACAGAAAAAATTGTCCAACCTTGCAGCGTGAAAAGAATATGCTACCCGGAGCAAGTTCAGGACCGAGAACTGCCACTATTGCATTGATAAGATGGCCTATTTCCTGTCTAAAATCCACGTAACCATTTTCTTCCAACAGAAGAATTTCCATAGCAAGGAAAAGTGTCCCCTGTGTAACAACATATCAAAGCACCTATTACAAATTTACAATCAGCAGTACAAGAACACAATTATTGTGCAACTAGTGGGCGAAATAAAGGCAGAAAAGGTGATATTAAGAAGTAGGCCTGCTTGGTTGGTGCCTAGTTTGCCTGAGTTCGTCACCCTGTTTGGTCAGAGGCGGCACTTGTACCAAGATACATTTACTACAGCATGGGCCCGGCCACTGACTGAGAAAGGTGGGACAAGATTTTCTTTGGTTTGGCAACATGGCTTTCACTTTCATTGCCTGGTAATTTGCCAAAAAAGTGGTTTTACCACACTATACCTAAGCTTAGATATGGCAAGGTTAGCTTTGAACCAAGCATGCCCCTAGTATACCAACCAAAGATACCCTAATTCCACGAAACTGAGATGTTTAATATGTGTGAAGGCGAATTGCATGGAAGGATCCCTCCTGATTAAGTATCCATGGATGTTTGACAGTAAATGGAAATTGCTTTGCCAAAGTGGCACAGTTATGATGCTAAACATGTAGATCCACATGTTACTCTCAAATAGGATAATATTCCACATGTTTCCCTTGAGATAGAAAATGGTGAAGACTACAATCCCTGCATCTCATACCCCTATTTAAGAGATGTTAAACAAAAATGTACTTAATACCGGTGTGTTCTGGTGTGTTGTATAAATCCTCACACCATCAACACAACAGCGTAGATAAAAAAAAAGGGCAACCTGGTGCATGTAGCTCCCGCTTGCGCAGGGTCCAGGGAAGGGTCCGACCACTTTGGGTCTATAGTACGCAGCCTTTCCCTACATTTCTGTAAGAGGCTGTTTCCAGGACTTGAACCCATGACCTCATGGTCACAAGGCAGCAGCTTTACCACTGCGCCAAGGCTCCCCTTCAACACAACAGCGTAGATAGTTTACAAAAACTGCATGGCATGTATGAAAGATGACATAAACCAAAAGGAAACTAACAATACTATTGAAACCTATGCATGGCTGGCACATTACAAGATTTCTCTGCGTATGAAAATCTGATGAGAATGTAATTACTAACTAAGATGGTGTAAGAACAGTCACTGAAAACCTTTGCACAGCCAGTGTATAACTCACTAGGTTGAATTCGTACACAATTCATTACTCTAAAAGAGTGTTACAACTTATGAAATAAGACTGATGAAAAATACCTGAACCTGGGAGACGTAAGACAAGCCAGCAGCTTCGATGGTCAAAAGAAGAGCATGGAGTGACCACAACTGCAGGTTAGAATTAGAACTCTTACTCAAATGAGACAGCGAGTTCACAGTTGGAGTGACCAGAGTAGATAATGCTATTCCCCCTGCACTGCACCAACAAAAAGAGCATTACTGCCGTGAACTCCACGTGTCAAACATACTCACACAAATTAACTCCACATAGGTAACAACTTACCCTATAGACACCACTACATCTCCCCACAAAATCCCAATAAATAAACAAGGTGATACATGCTTCTAAAGAGCAATTTCACATACATAAGACAGTTAAATACTACTCCCTCCATTCCATAATGTAGCGCGCCCGCGCTTTTCGAGATTCAACTTTGACCATAAATTTAACCAACGTGGGCGATTGTGGCGGGAGCAAAAATTATACCATTATGGTCAAAGTTGAATCTCGAAAAGCGCGGGCACGCTACATTATGGAATGGAGGGAGTAGAACTGGTATAACATATATGTACGACTAGTCCAATGCATTTTCTACACATGAGGCAGAAAATAATATTACAAGCTCTAACCACGCCCTAAATTTTTAATTGCAGCTCTCATACTTCTTCACATCAAATTTTTTTAATTTAAGGCTCTGCTGCAATTCCCAGCCATGGTCCATGCCAACATAGCCCAATCTTTTTCCTTTTTGAACCCTAGACACATTTTTTTAACTTAAGGCTCTGCTGCAATTCTCAACCATGGTCCATGCCAACATAGCCCAATTTTTCCTTTTTGAACCCTAGACACTTTTTTTTAATTAAAGGCTCTGCTGGAATTCCCAGCCATGGTCCATGCCAACATGCACCGCACTACCACCATTGTACTTGGCCCCTGCCATCCCCTCGAGTTTGCCGTCGTCAACCTTATGCCACACCATACCCCCTAACTTTACGGCCGTTGACCTTTTGTTGGATTGCATAATGGTAAAATCAGACAGAACCACCAGTTGTTGCTGCAGTTTGCTAAAATGGAGGCATGCACATGCTACAGAGTTTTTGTAACCAGCAACGACATTAAGCAATTTCATTGATTAGTGTTATTATTAAGGGTAGTTCAGGAGTTGAGACACAAAATTGCTCTACTAAATTGCTTAATTTCCCTCTTATTTTTTGTCCAATCCCCGAGACTTAAGGGGAGCACTCTCCGGTCTACTCGGTGAGGTCATGCACCATGGTGTACTAGTGTGATTTTGTGTACACACATCGCAGGGTGGCTATTTAGGATTTAGTTATGAGATTTCCTTTTTGTGGGATAGCTAGGATTTGTTCTTGCTAGCTCTTTCTCTGGTTTTGTTTTAGTTGCTTTATACAACTGGGAGTTGGGGAGACAAAGAGGGAAGGTGTCATCACCATTCACCAGTCTCTATACTAGTACAGAAACTGATAGAAATACAAATTACAAAAGCGAGATGATTTAAACTTTGCGGGTACAAGCCTGTGCAATGCAAGCTTGATGTAGGTTTGGCTCCTTCATACTTATGCAACACAAATGACGAAATATTTGTGTTAACACAGTACTGAATATATCGAAGTAAGGTGAGCAATATCCCAGGTGACAAAAAAAAAGGCTTCCGCCAGGTAAAGCCTGAACTGTCTTTTATAGGGAGAGGAAGAATAAATACAATAAGCAGAACTTACGTTCGATGAATGCATCCCAATGAAAGTGCAACCGATGCTGCATAGCTCAGATCCACTGGTGTTGCTAGCTCTCCAAGAAGGGAACGAGCCTAGTAAATTCAAAAACCACTTCCATTACTAGAGTCTAGAAAATGAAAATGTATCTGGGGAGAAATGAAATGCATAACCATCTACATCATGCCTGGAGAGTGGAAAGTATGAAGAATAAAGTGCATAACTGATAAAAAAATTGTAATTTTATACAAAATTCGAAGTTGACAAAGCAGGCAAATATTAATATTAAGAGCAAAAGTATGACCACACTCAAGAGACAAACCATTCTTGCGGTGAATATATCATTCCCAGTGCGTGCCAGTAAACCAAGACCCTCACATGCTGCCCGCCGTTGTGCTGTAGAAATTTCACTCTCCCCTAGGATGCCCTGATGCCAGTAATCACGTTAAATTGGGGGAGGGGGGGGGGTGTAGTTTCGCAAATTTGGTCTGTATTCTGTACACATACTTTACCTTGAATATAGATTGGATCATACTAAATATATCAGTTGGCAATGATTGAGCGCCACGTAAAGTCAGTAACTCCTGAACAGAGAGCACGATGATATTAAAATTAAGAAAACAAATCAGACTGTTAGCGCTCTCAGCTTATAACAAATATTAGAAGTACCTTTAGCCCTGACAATAGAGCAACACAGGCATTTGAAACAAGAAACATATACCAAGAGTACTTCTTCCCAGCCTTGAGGCACTGGTCAATATTGTTCAGGAGTCTTATCTTGGCAGTATTGTCCTGTCAATAGGCATATGAACAAACAAAAATAGAAAATCATTAATCAACAAAAGCAGAATTCCCAAGTTAAAAATGAATGAATTGCTGAAGTTAAGTGCACCTGACATGCAAAGATAGAACCATAGCACAGAAGCATCTGATTAACCAGCATTTTGCTTACTGATTCTGGCTTCAATAAGAAAAACAAACATATATTAGCCCATTCAGAGTGTGCACCTGACTGTAGAAAGTCGATGACATCCACATGTATCAACAGTAATAAGCTTAGTTGAAGTTTGGATTAATATATAAGGAAGTTACTAATGAGTAAGTGAACAACCGATCAAAAACACTGCAAACATTATCCCAGTTCAAACATAACTTCAGTGTGTGACTGATAAGTGATCATAGCCTCATAGGACACACTCGCTATCATGTACCCTTACTCAGTCCGCACACTGGATGCTATTTTCCTATTTATACTTCTTCGCACAATTTTGTTTAAATAAAAGAAGTGCAGTTAAAGGAAGAAACAGTATCGATTTTCAGAATGGTAGTATACCCTCAATACATGCATCAAAAGAGCTTACCAGGCACAGGCAGCTTTGTTAATTAGCAATTGCTTCTCTTGTAAAAGGGAACATTTTCAAAAATCCTTATGTACATAGTGCTTTCTAGGTATAAGCTTAATGTAGGATTCTTATTGACTAATACTAAATTAGTTCCTTCCTGAACCAGATATTGTATTTTAGAACTGGCCTAGAGTTATTGTATTTTAGAACTGGCCTAGAGTGTTGTTTCCATGTCTGGATGCATGTGAAACAAATCAATAGTATCAAGTTTTGAGCAAACATAAGCATAAAGATAGCTGGGCCGAGGTATTGAAAAGATAACTACCTGAGGAAAGTTGCTGATTTCGTCATCCCACACACATGGTAGAAATCCATCAACACCACCATCAAAAGCTCGTAGTTCATCCTCAAATGAATCCCTGATAAGTAATAACCAATAAACTATCATAAATATTTTTAAAAGAAGACAGTGTAGTTGGCCATAGTTCAGTACAACGAGAACTCATACTTGGCACGCTACCTTCCAGGTATCCACGGGCCCAAAGAAGCATCTCTCTTGTCTAACAGAAACTTCAAGCATGAGCTTTCTTCCCATCCGGAAGGGTCACTAGTTTCATCACCCGGAAAGTTAATACATAGAACAAAAGGCGAGTGATACAGTATTAAAGGAATGCAGAATGAGAAAAAAGAAGGGAATATTGGCTGTCAATGCTGAAGATGAATTTACATGCTTTAAGTCTCTATGTTTTAGAGCACACTAAGGACCTACAACGTAATTATAAAATTTCTATCATATTGGGAGTTCGTGTAGCCAGGTGAAGCATATGTGAAAATAGCGCTCAAAAGAATAAATTGAAAAGACAGAATTGCCTTTTAAGACCATGATAATGCCATATTGTGTAATCATTCAGAGTTTTAGAAAGAAATTCATATACAGCACAATAATGTCCAAATGTTGGCAGTGTTATGAAGTGAGCCTATATTCCATCGGGCCAACAGGCCAGCACATATACATGAAGGGAAATAAGCAAAGAAGCCCCTATACAATATGATAACTACACACACAGCACAACCCTGTTCTAACACCCCCCCTCAAACTCAAGGGGGATCTTGGACACCGAGTTTGGACAGGAAAAAGCTGTGTTGGGACCGTGTCTGAGCTTTCGTCAGAAAATCAGCAAGCTGAAGCTCCGAGGGCACATACTGAGGGGCCACAATTCTGTCTTGCACCTGAGAACTAGTGTAGGAGGCATCAACACCGATGTGCTTGGTGAGCTCATGCTTAACAGGATCACGGGCAATGCTGAGTGCCCCAGTGCTGTCGGAGAGCAGAGGGGTCGGTGTAGCAGTGGAAACACCAAAATCCTGAAGAAGCCATCGTAGCCAAGTAATTTCTGCAGTCACGGACGCCATAGCTCGCAGCTCAGCCTCAGCACTGGAGCGAGATACAGCATTCTGCTTCTTGGTCTTCCAGGCAATCAGGGAGGAGCCAAGAAAAACACAATAGGCAGAGAGAGAGCGGCGATCAGTGGGATCGCTGGCCCAGGTAGCATCACAGTAGGCCTGAAGCTGAAGAGAGCTGGAGCAAGGGAAGAATAAGCGACGAGTCACGGTACCACGAAGGTAACGAAGAACACGAAGAAGGTGACTGTAGTTTAGTTGAGTGGGAGCAGAGACAAACTGACTTAGAATGTGCACAGCATAAGAAATGTCAGGACGAGTGATGCCTAGATAGACAAGGCTCCCAACAAGATGGCGGTAGCGCGTGGAATCTGCAAGGGGTTCACCCTCACCAGGACGAAGATGGAGACCAAACTCCATAGGAGTGTCAACCGTGCGCTGATCAGTGAGGCAGGCACGAGTGAGAAGATCTTGGATGTACTTCTCTTGAGAGAGATAAATACCCTTAGGGGAAGAAATGATCTCAAGTCCAAGAAAGTAGCGAAGAGAACCCAAATCAGTCATCAAGAATTGCTCATGTAGACGTTTCTTCACAAAATCAATGAATTGGTGGTCAGCCCCTGTGATAATCATGTCATCAACATAGAGTAGTAAAAGGGTGCGACCGCGAGGAGAAGTGTGAATAAACAGAGCAGGATCATGAACACTAGCAGAGAACCCGATCCTTGTGATGACGGCGGAGAAACGCTCAAACCAGGTACGAGGAGCTTGTTTCAGCCCGTAAAGAGCGCGCCGAAGGCGACAGACAGTGCCATCAGAGACAGTATAGCCAGGAGGCGGCTGCATATAGACCACTTCCCGCAGCTCACCATTCAAGAAGGCATTCTTGACATCTAATTGAGAGATGGACCACTGCCGAACAGCAGCAACAGCCAAAAGAGTGCGAACAGTGGTCATGTGAGCAACAGGAGCAAAAGTCTCATCATAGTCACGACCATACTCCTGCTGGAAGCCACGCGCAACAAGACGAGCTTTGTAGCGCACGAGAGAACCATCTGAATGTGTCTTAACCTTGTAGACCCATTTGCAAGTGATGGGTCTAACGCCTGTAGGCAGGGGTACAAGGTCCCAAGTGCCTGTGCGCTCAAGAGCATGAATTTCCTCTGCCATAGCATGCTGCCATTCAGAATGAGCAGCAGCCTCACGATATGTAGACGGCTCAACAAGAGTGGTAGCAGCAGCAACATAGTACGCAGGAGGCTGGAGAGTGTGGCGATCACGCAGATTATACCGAGGAGCAGGAGGGGTAGGTGGTTCTGAAGGAATGGGACCCAACAGGGAAGGAGTGGAAGTGGAAGTGGGCGCATCCGAGGGAGAAGGGTGCCGAGCACGACGGGAGTAGACAAAAGGAAGCGGAGAGAGAGGGGAAGTGGAAGGTGGCGCATCAGAGGGAGAAGGGTGTTGAGCACGACGGGAGTAGGTAAAAGGAAAAGGAGAGAGAGTGGATGGCTCAACCCGAGTAGGAGAGTCAGGAATAGAAACCTCGTCCTGTGTAAGCTGAAGCTCATGAGCAGACACAGGTGAAAGGCTAGGAGTGGACCTACCAGGTGACGATAAAGGTGAAGAATCAGGTAGAGTCAAAAAAGAGAGAGGCTCGACTAACGACTCGGTTGTGGCAGTAGAAGAATGACGAGGGTAGAAGGAGCGAGACTCATCAAAAGTGACATCTTTGGAGATTCTCAGTCTTCGAGCAATAGGGTCCCAGCAACGGTAACCTTTGTGCTCCAAACTGTAGCCAAGGAAAACACATTCAACAGATTGAGCAGTCAATTTGGTGCGTTCATGAGGGTGGAGAAGAACAAAACAGGCACAACCAAACAGGCGTAGACCACTATAATCAGCTGGACCATCACCTAGATGATCAACTGGTATCCCTCCCTGAAGAGCAACAGAAGGCTGAATATTAATGAGATAAACAGCGGTAGAGACAGCCTCAGCCCAAAAGTGCGGGGGAACAGCAGAAGATAAAAGAAGAGCCCGAGCAGTCTCAAGGACGTGACGATGTTTGCGTTCAGCCACCCCATTTTGAGCGTGTGCACCAGGACAGGAATACTGAGGAAGGGTACCCTGTTCAGCAAGGAAACCACGAAGCGCACGAGATAAGTACTCGCCAGCCGAATCAGCACGAAAAACTCGAACAGAGGAATCATACTGAGTGCGAACCATGGTAGCAAACGACTTGTAAATTTGAAGCACTTGACTACGAGATGACATAAAGTAGATCCAAGTGTGGCGAGAAAAATCATCAATGAAAATTATATAATATTTGTGACCCCCTTTCGAAACAAAGGGGGCAGGACCCCGTACATCAGAGTGAACAAGTTCAAAAGGTCGTTGAGAAACAGAATTACTAGAGGGATATGGAAGTTGTATCTGCTTGCCAAGCTTACAACCCATACAAGTTAGTGAACTATCACCAGATACAGACCCTAGAACACCACTCCTAACCAAAGAAGACAAGCGGGAGCCACAAATGTGACCCAATCGATGATGCCACTGAGCGAAGGATGTGGTGGAGGTGGCAGCTGAAGCAAAAGGGGTGGTGATGTCCGACTGGCTAGAGGACGCAGCGAAAGGAAGGCGCAGCCAATCGAGCTCCCAAAGGCGCTGAGAGTTATGGCGCCGAGGACCGATCCCAACCAGAGTCCCCGTACGACGATCCTGAACACAACAAGAGTCAGAATCCAGAATAACACGACAACCCAAGTCAGTAAGTTGACCAGCAGATAGAAGTTGCATAGTCAGTTTAGGAACATGAGAAACGGCAGGGACATGAAAAGAAGACGTGGAAAGAGTCCCTCTTGCGGCAACAGAAAGAGAAGTGCCATCTGCAGTCTGAACTGTAAGAGGAGAAGGCACGGAATTGACAGCACAAAGATGATCTCTGTGTGGTGTCATGTGGAAGGAGGCCCCAGAATCAAGAATCCAGGGCAAAGATGTACCTGACGAAGAGTGCGGTGGTGGACCAGACGTCTGACCAGCAGAACCAGCAGAACCTGAGGATGGTGCAGAAGCAGTAAGGCAGCGCAGCAAGGTGAGCATCTCCTGGTGAACCTTCTCAAGGGAGCCCTCACGAAAATTAGAGGAGCCTCCCGAGTCCTTTTGAGGACGGCCACCGCGGCGACCCTGTTTCCTCCTCTTGATGCACTCCGTGATCATGTGACCATCCTGCTTGCAGTAGTTGTAGAAAGCACTAGTGGAGGTTGCTGCCACTTGTGTAGAAGAGGGCACACCGGCAGCGGTGGTGGAACGCGGGCAGCCAGGACTGCTGAAGAGGATGGCAATAAGCCCGTGCTCCGTAGGCGCACCTCCTCAGATCGCACCTCAGCAAGGGCCTCCAGAGTAGAGAGCCGAGGATGGCGTGCCAATAGCTGAGCACGTCTCTGCTCGAACTCCGGCCGGAGGCGAGTGAGGAAGTCGTAGAGGCGACGAACCTCCAGCTTAGCTTGTTGCCGCACACAACACTGACATCTGCGACAAACATCAGCTCCCAGAGAGTCCAATTGGCGCCACACCGCCGACATCTCCTTGTAGAAATCATCCACAGTAGCATCTCCCTGTTGTAGTTGTTGCTCTTGACGAACAACAGAGAGATACATGGCATCCCCTGTAGACTCATAGCGATGGCGAAGGTGCTCCCACATCTGATATGCAGTGGTAAGGGCCACCACATCCATGGTGAGATCAACATCCATGCTGTTCACCAAGATAGAAGAGGCTCGAGCATCATCATTTGTCCATTGCTTGTATAAGTGGAGTTGATTCTGATACTCTTCAGTGGCCTCTTCAAAAGCATCTAGCATCTCACGTTGCTTGGTTTCATCGGCATCAACAGGGAAGGCCAACTCAGCTGGAGGAGTGGGCAGCAGGGGACAAGGCAGAGCACCAGAGAGGTGCTCCCAGACCAGCTGGCCCCTCATGTGCAGCTTCATGTGCTGCACCCAGTCCCTGTAGTTCTGTCCGTTGAAGATAACAGGACATCGTGGGACTGGGACAGCACCGGTGGTGGTGGAGGGCGCCATTGCAGCAGAGCAGCAACAGCAGCTCGTTGAAGACCAGCAGCAGCAGGAGGCACAGCTTGATGGCAGCAGCAGACCAGGAGGAGAAGAGCAGCAGCAGCCGCACTTTGAAGAGCAGCAGCAGCAGCTCGTTGAAGAAGAGCAGCAGCAGCAGCTCGTTGAAGAAGAGCAGCAGCAGCAGAGAAGAGGAGCAGCAGCAGCAGCAGCTCGTTGAAGAGCAGCAGCAGCACGTTGAGGCGGCGGCGCCGGCCGGGAAGGACGGCGGCAGCAGCGGCCTGGAACGGCGGCGGCCTGGACCAGCAGGCGGCAGCAGCTACCAGGAAGAAGAGGGGAGAGGCTCGATGAAGAGAGGAGCGGCGGCCGGCGGCGGCGGCGGCGGCGGCGGCGGCGACCAGAGGCGGCGGCGGCGGCTGGGGAACCTAACCCTAGCTCTTATACCATGTTATGAAGTGAGCCTATATTCCATCGGGCCAACAGGCCAGCACATATACATGAAGGGAAATAAGCAAAGAAGCCCCTATACAATATGATAACTACACACACAGCACAACCCTGTTCTAACAGGCAGCACTAAGGATAAACAGTTATGCAAATTGTACTGTAGCACTGAGTCCCAGAAACGTTTTCGTCGAGTGTTTATTGCAGTTCAAGTATGCTTGGCAGACCCGTTCGAAATCTCTCTTGTGCAGATAAGATACATGATTGGGTAGAATTTAATAAAATCCTAGTTAAAAAATTCTTGGTGCTCAAATACAGTTGCACAATTCTGTGTAGCCGATTAAATTAAATTAAGTAGATGGACTGAAATAAACAAACCAATTTAGGGTAATTGAGCACACAAAATTAAGTTGTGGGGCGTGCAGTGTAACGCTCCAAATAATCAAAAGGGAGGTTGGAATGTATTATGGTCAAAGGTTGGTAGCAGGTGTTGGTGCTCGTTAATTTTTATTAAGTTCTACTCCCTCTGTAAACTAATATAAGATCTTTTAGATCACTACTTTAGTTTAAAGAGGGAGTACAATTTAATGCATAATGACAAGCCAAGCATAAATATAATAAAACCATGCTATTCAAAATACACCACCTGAATGGGCTTGAACACAGCTGAAGCATTTGCTCATGCTCTGATTGATAAACCACTGGATTGGAAAGGGACTGATACGCCATCAGTGTTCTAGTTGTGAAGAGATTCAGTGCAGACTTGAGATTTGGCAGTTGCTTAGCTCTCAATGAAGATATAAGGGATAAAGCTCTGCATTGTGTAGCTTGAAACTTAGCCTTCACGGAATACACACTAAAGACTAAAATAGGAATTCAGCAGTGAATTTTACGCACCCACCAAGGTAGGCCAGGACAGGGTTAAGTAAGATTCCACCATTAGCAGTTGCGATGATGGGAGAAACAAAGCTTCTTATGAAAGCAGTAAGAGCCTCGATTGCAACCGACAGAACACTGCAGCAAAAAGCTAAACAAATCAGCAAATTAACTGGAAAAATTAGAACTTTAGCAATGAACAGATTTGCAGAAGTTGTCCGGTGTAATTTTTTCTTTATCTCTACTTTCTTGTTTTATCTGCTTGTATCTGGTAGGAACCGATGTGAACCTTTCATGGCATTGTTGCCTATCTTACTTGATGTGGCTAGGGACTTCTATTCCTATAGAAGGGCAGGCAGATCATTGAGATCCTTAAGCAAAAAATAACCAGAAGTTCTAGTTTCCCCCTCCTTCTCCAAGGCTGCAAAAGGCCGAATACCTATCTACCAACTCAGGGAAGAGCGCTGCCAACGGCTAGATGAGGGTGATCCCCTACAGTCGATTGCTCTACTTTCAGTCTTCAGACCCATGCCCAACCATGCATGTCACAACTCACAACTTGGTATCAAACAAAGAATCATGGAAGAAATAGAAGTATCAAGGTTGCAAAGCTTGCAGGTATGGAAGACAAGACATCCAGGATGACAATGAACGGTATCGCAAAAATGTTTTTGAAGCTATTATGAAACTATCTATGAACTAGAAACATGCAATACATGTGTAGTTGCTGAAACGAACCGCAGTTCTGATGCCCAGTCCTGTATATGACTAAGGTACGACTCAGGATTTCCAGTAAAAGGACTAGCCCATAGCAAAAGAACATCAAACACTTGATCTTCCAGCTCCTGCATACATACCACAGAAAAGAGCCATCGATATGTAAGCTTTATAGCAATATATATACATGAGACACATAGACAGTATCTGCAATACCTCTTTTGGCATGGATGCTAAAAGAGAAGCTAATAACAACCAGCCAGCTTCACGCTCTGCTATAGCAGCCACTGGGTTTCGGCTGAAGCCATTCAGCATCTTTTTGGACAACTCAAGTACGGAATTGGGCAGCCTGCACGTTTATTGAATAGGAAAAGTAAGATAAATTTATAATATGTGAGGGTCAAAACATTGGAAAAACAAAGAGCGCTTATTCTTTGGGCATAATTTCCACTAACAGAAATAATAAATGAGAGTTATCCATTCTAACATTGTGATTTTAATACATGTTGGCACTGTTAAGAATGCTTATCAAAGTTATGAACCTGCTACAATAGATCCAAAACAAAGTTGGCACAACCTAGTATCATACCCTTTTCATGCCAAATATATGGTTCAGATTTCAGAATATTAGAGCATTTATAGCCTTTTCATGCCAAATATATGGTTCAGATTCCAGAATGTTAGAGCATTTCTTTATCCACTGCTTCTGCTTTGTTCACATGAATAACAAGGTAGGTTCTGTATCAACTACAGAAACGTAATGCTAGGCGCTAGTTAATTCATGAAATTATTTGTGTTATTATGCCAGAAGGGACTTGGATACAGTCAACAGGTGAACAACCTGACAACAACAATGACCTAGTACAGTTTCACGGGGTGCTAATGGTACTCAGAGATATATGAGAGCACGCAACACACTGTAAAAAATATTGGTTCAACCCAATATTGAACGTAGCCCAACCAGATCACACTGCCAAAGATCCAATCTAAAACTTGGCCCAAGGCTACATCGTTACCAAACAAACCTAGGAATACAGCAGCAAACTGATGCAACAAACCTTAGGCAAATTTCTAAAGCTAGAAAATACTATGAATATGTAGTAGTGAAAGAATGCAAGCAGCCCCACAAACTACTGCCATATGAGAACTTATGAATGCCATTTCCCATTCAAAACCAAGAAAAATATCGCGAAGTATAATGAAATGAACCTTGCAGGGTAACCAAGAAGTAACTTTGGCGAGATCGCAACGAGAGTAGCTAATACAGTAGCCTGTCCATGTAGCGAATCAAGCTCATGGTTCAGATTTTTACCCTGCTTTAAATAAATTTATCAAGAGGGTAAATGTCAAGGCAGTAAAACTGTATCATGCATATATGATGCCAAATACAGTATAAAGTAGCAATAACTAATGAAAAGATAAACCAATAGTCGCTGATGAACATATTAAACTACAAACACAACATAATATGTTAGAGACTAGTGCCAACTCATCCTATAGGAAAGTCCGGACTAGATCGGCAAACCTTTGTACTGATTAATGAGTGAGGTGAGTAAAAACAAGTGTGCAAAGACTCTGTCAGTGCTGCAAGTACCATGCTCTAGTCTTACATGTATTTATCATGCTGTATGCATGATGCATATTTTTTAACCACTGTTTCCTCTTTGTGAGACAGCAGAAAGTAATTATGAAGCTGCAACACAGATCAATTCTCAAGATTGTAACATGAGAGGTTCAATTACAATTAGAAGCAGCGACATCGGTTGACTCTGCGCTTTAAAGAGTAACTATTTAAGTACATACTCCCTCCGTAAACTAATATAAGAGCGTTTAGATCACTATTTTAGTAATCTAAACGCTCTTATATTAGTTTACAGAGGGAGTACTAAATATTAAAGTAGCATGTCTAGCTGTGCACTGTGAACATCCGGAACAACCGCTTATCCCTAGGTATAATAAGTGTATGAAATGCAACAGACAAGCTTCACTATACCTTGTCAAATGATAAAGTCTCCCTGAGAGCATGTAATGTTGTAATACCATATGAGACTAAACCGCCAACACATGTCGGATCAACTTCCGCTAAAGCACGCAATGTTAAAGCTGCCTCGACACGAACCTATACAATGTCAACAAAGATATTAGGGTTGATCAACCACTTAAGATAACATACAAATGAACATCTGTAGCATTGATTGATAGTAACAGAAAATTTAAGCATGGCTTGAGTTTCATTTTTAGAAGAAACAACTGTACAAGGTGCAGCAACAGCAGGACATGCCAAAATGACTGCCACTATATTCAGCTTTCAATTTACTCATATTAAAGGGAACCTTGTAGAATATAATGGAAGATCACAGTAATATTCAGTTTTCCTCGGTACTCAGTAATACAGTAGGCAGCAAGATCAATGATACACTGAATGTGAAGTTCAGACACTGCATGCAAATTTTGTATTGACAAGCAGGCAAGTGTGTGATAAGCTATGTTGGTCATTTGCAGGAAACAGATTGATGAAATATGATATGCAATCAGAAAAATGAATATTGGCACCAGAAAAGTAAGTAAAGTATATGTGTAGTTTACTGAACATCAGTGGTTTACTATTTCATTGATGTCATTGATGTTGAGAAAAAACAAGCAGTTGAACAACGAAGAAAATGTTCTCAAGACGGAGTAACATGACATGTAATATAGCAATGGCACAAGCAAGTGGATCTGTGACTACATGGTTATCTAGTCATCTAGTAATATATATCTCTGAAAGCTGAAATAAAATAATTTTGTAGTATACATCTATCATACATGAGGATTCAGTAAGCTACATGTGTTTAATCGTAGAATTGCATAGCAGATATGTACAACAGAGATGATGTGAAAAACAAAATGTTCATGTACTTATGAATTTAAGAGTACACAAAATGAAAATTCAGGAAACCTATTTTGCAACATACATTTGCTGAAGAATGAGATAATGCTGCAACAACTGTATTATCAAGAATATCCTTGAATTCAGATGGAACCTGTGTGATGGAGCATGGGATGTTACTCATGTACGCATAGCATTGATCCAAAAACAGAAAATTAGCTGAGTACTATGGCAAAGAGGTATAATCATTGCTAGTGGGAATGATATATGAGGCTCAGAGCCACATGTGAGTAACACATTGGATAGTACTTATCCAACTTCTCGATCTCTGTGTGATGGTACTGAGCAATTGCCCATAAACAGATAGCAAATAAGAATAACACTTTCGCCAAAGAGAATATAAAATCATACACGTAACTCAGAGTAGCTGGAAATGCATCAAGTATGCTACTTGGTTGAGTTATAACAATCGAGGCTGCAAATTAAACAGGGAAAAAACATTGATAATACATCATCCCTTCGAGTGCAAATACCTCGCCCAAGCTTCTCAAGAGGTAAGATAGAATGCGTAATGTTGCCACTCTCGTCGGAGCAGAATAATTTGAAGACTCCAACTGCACTCAACAATACATACAGAAATTCAAAGGATGTAAGGAAATTAACTCGCGCTTTTTATACTGTTTTTTAGAACCAGGTTGAAGCTATCGAACCTTTTTCCCCAGAAATACCAAAAATTCACCCTGCGTTGGCTCGGTCATCTGGTCAGCAAAACCAACTCGGAGGACATATAGCACACATGCCTGGGCATTTAGATATAAAAGCAATAAGAACCTTTAAACTAAAGCAACTGAAGTGGAATAACATTTTCTTGCCAGTATTTGATATCCTGTTTTCTTAACAAACAAAATTACAAATACATACTAGTTTAGACTAATTGGAAACAAGCATCAAACTGCTGGGCTCTTACAAAGCGCATGTTCCACTTCTTGTGTCACATTTCTGTCATCTATAGGTGAACTAATTCCATGTGGACATTCATATTTCTAGGTAACTCATCCAGCTGCATCAATCCGTCCTCAAAATAAATTCTAATAAATTGATAAACCACATGTGGAAAAAGCAGTCTCTCTTGTGAAGGAAATATTTGCTGACAATACAGCCCATTTTTAAACATAATAATTCATGGTTGAAAAAAAATATGGATATACAAGTTCAAACTTCAAACCAAAATTGACAACGGGAGCTACCAATGCGTGTGGATCAGGAGAACCATTCCCTTGGAGAATTTCCATCACTTGTACAGCATAGTTTTGAAGTTCACTGTCCAGGGTACCGTACTTCATATGGATCATCTGCACCAGAAAACTTTTGTTAAGAGAGAGAAATGAAATATCAATGTGCTACAAAATGCAATCAGGCTACTTGTGAACTATGGTAAATTTAGTACAATTGAGGCGTAGAATCTTTCTAGTTCAAATAGGAAGACAACTTTTTGTGAGGGAGCCAAGTGAAAATAACTAGTAGGAAGTAGGTATGTTTGTTTGTTTTTTTGCTGGCTAGAAGAAAAGCACCGATGTTCAAGTAAAAGTGGACTTAAATCCCATTGATGGGGTTGTAGATCCGCTCATCCACCCACTGAGCTAGGTTGGTTGCTAATTAACTACAGCGACAAGCTAACAATTGAAAGATAAATATAATGAAGTTGAGATGCCTAATGATGCATCCCTTAGGATGGAAGTGAACGGCAACAACCCTTTGAAAGGGTACTTACTACTCAACGACCTTTTTAGGTGTTCATGATAATCAGTTTGGTACACTGTATACATAGAATAATTCAAAGAATGATTTTATTTTTATTTTCTTTATTTTTTGAGCGAAAACAGTAGCTCCTCCTATGTTGTCTCAGCATAGCCGGTCCCAGGCCCGGGTAAAGGAGGAGGCTTGTGATAGGCTTGGCGAGCCAACATAAAAACTCAGCCACTCTTATGAGATGAAACCCAAAAGATTTTCGTTGGGGCGTAACCCTCTCAGCGACGCGCCACATCGGAACCCGGGTGTGATCTCAAATGGGCAAGGG